CCACCCAAGCAGCACAGTGGCCAGATTGTGGATTCTTCAGAACAGAAGCAACGACCACCTTGCCAAGCCAAAGAACGGACTCTTCTATGCCCCACCATTTAGATAAACTCCACAATTTACATCATAGGATTTCATTTATACTGAAATTCAAGGACAAGCAAAATGGATTACAGTGACAGAGACTAGAATAGTGATTATCTCAGCTGGGGAGCAGGACCTCTACAAAAAGAATGCCTTCCTGGCTCTTGGAATGTTCTGTACAGTGATCAGCTGGGTTGTTGGGACAGCTGAAGTGGGAAGTAATTACAGGTGCAGTGTAGGAGACCCTTTCCAGGCTCTCATCTTGGTCCAAGAAGTCAATTTTTTTTTTCTTTTGGCAGAACCAGGGATTGAACTCAGGCCCCTGCGCTTGCCAGGGAAACACTTATTCTACTGAGCCATCTCCCTGGCCCATAAAAATACCTAACTTTTTTTTTTTTTTTTTTTTTTGGTGGAACCGGGGATTGAACTCAGGCCCCTGCGCTTGCCAGGGAAACACTTATTCTACTGAGCCATCTCCCTGGCCCATAAAAATACCTAACTTTTTTTTTTTTTTTTTTTTTTGTGGAACCGGGGATTGAACTCAGACCTGTGTGCTTGCCAAGGAAGCGCTTATTCTACTGAGCCATTTCCCCAGGCCCTCAAGAAGTCAATTTGTAATCCCAGAGATACGTATTTGGAATCCCACCAAGTTAATTCCAATCTACCACTCCCAGTGCAACCCACAGTGAAAGTAAAGACACTAAAACATATTTATAATTATTGGGGAGCCAAAGGGCCCTAAGTCCAGCCACAAAGATGGCTTTCTGGAACAAAAAGACCAACCCAGGGCCACACCAGGCTTTATTCAGCTGAGAAAGGGAAGTGGCTTGAGGAAGAGAATTGTGGGAAGTAGGTGAGTACTGTGAGCTGGGCTAGGTGGGTGATCTGCATTTACCTTGTCATATGCAGAGAGGAGATGCAGAGAAAGTAATTTGCATTATAATATTGAGATAGTATCTAATGTTTCGGGGGTCTGGTGCTTCCACTCTGATGTATAATCTTTCAAGCCCCAGGAAGTCATAGCCTCTACCTCAAGGCTCCATCCCACATGGCAGCATGGAGCACTGGCTCTTCGTCCTGTCTCAACCTGGCTCATATTGGAGAGCAGCAGGTGTGGGTTATCAGGGAAACATGCATGTCATCTTCAACGTTTACCACCAGCACCTCGGCTAGACCAGTATATATTGCTTAAGGCCAATTGAAAGGATAAAGAGAAGTCCTAGCCAGCTCTGTACACATCAATACAAGGAAATAGGGTCAGGCTCAGTCAAAATGAAGATAATCACTCTTCTTTCAAGGAGAGCTGCCCAGGCAGTCCTCCACAGTGCAGGACGAAGCCAGCCTGAGAACACAGGAGCCCCTTGAAGCATGCAAACGAAGCCTGTTAACCTATTGCTGCATAAAGAGGTTAAAATTAATATCAACCTCTCAAGGGTGTAAATAAATGCTCTACCATTTTTGTTTTTTGGTTTTCGTTTTTTTGTTTTTGTTTTTTTTTTGTTTGTTTGTTTTTTGTTTTGCGGAACCAGGGATTGAACTCAGGCCCTTGCGCTTGCCAGAGAAGCGCTTATTCCACTGAGCCATCTCCCTGGCCCCTTGTTTTTCTTTTTTTGAGGGTTTTTGTCTTTTTTGAGAGAGGGTCTCACTATGCAGTTCAGGCTGGCCTTGAGCTCACTTTGTTGCCCAGGCTAGTCTCCAGCTCACAGTGATCATCCTGCCTCAGCCTCCCAAGTGCTGGAATTACAGCTGTGCACTACCATGCCCAGCTTTACGTTCTACCATCCTTGGGCAGTTCCTCTCCTCCGCTTAGAAGAAAAAGAAGCTCTACCTGACCCAGCTATTGTCTCTTGTCTATGTTCCCCTCATTCTTGCTGCTATTCCTTCCCACAGGACATTGGGAATCCAGCAGATCCCCATACTGGGTGGTTGGCTACCTGTGTGTACATGCAGGTAAAAGTCCATGCGTGCCCTAGGAATTGAAATGCTTTATACATTTTCATGAAGCCTATGATTTAGATAAGCTAGTCACTTCCCTAACAAGACTAAATCTAATGATACTTGCCTTGCAGGGCTACTATGATGGAAGAAGTTTGGGCATAGATACAGACAGACAAACAGACAGACAGTAGGGCAGACTCCCAGCAAACAGAGGTCTCCCTCTGGTGGCCAGTCACAGACTGGTCCAAGCCTTGAACCAGGGCCCTGAACCATTTTTCAACCTAAAACGTTGATCAGAAACAGAGATGCCCAAAACAAACACCAGCACCTGCTTTTCAGGGGACAGACTGCCAAAATGACATCCCCTGCAGACCTACAGGAACATTCCACCCATCCCCCACAAACACCTAGTAGGACAACACCATCGTTAAATTCTGCATCTCAGCCCACCCAGCCATACCACAGTGAGTCCCAAATGACCACTTCTCACTGTCACCAACCAAGCACTCTTGCAATACTCACAGACATCACGAAATCGTCCAGAACCAGTGTCCACGGGTACTTCTGGTCTGAGAATCTCTGGCTTGAGCTGAGCTGGCCAAAACTCCTCCGGCCCCAGCACCACCGGGGTGACATTTCCTGAGGCCAGATCAAATGATTCTGGCTTCTTCGCTCTCAGATGCTTCGGTCCGAGCATCAGTGGTCCCACCACCACAGGCTCCAAGTCCACAGGTCTGATGACCTCTGGATCCCCCTTTGTTGCTTGCCTATTTGTGCGCAACAATGAAGCCAGTGTGTCCTGGCCCGTATCCTCTAAACAGGAGATGAACAAAGGAAGGGCCTTCCTTCCTCGGGTCTCAAGATCTGTGATCAGCTGCCTGGCCTGATCCCGCCGAGATCCCGAGCCTGCACACTGTTTGAAAACAAAAACCAGATACTCATTAACCAGGTACTTTCACGTGGTCCTTATCTTGTCCCCTACTACCCATGTAGTGTAGTCTAAACATCAAGCATGTGGGCAGGAGCTGAGCCTGCAGGTGCCAGACATGTGCCCCTCCAAAGCATGTGGTATTTCGAGGCATCCCCTGTGCCTGATGCTGTGCTAAGTGTAAGAACACTGCAACACACACGGTCTTCTGCAGGTGTAAACTTCTAGTGGGCTTAAAATGAAGTCAGCAAAAATAAATAAATAAATAAATAAATAAAATAAAATGAAGTCAGCAAAGACACAGAAGTCAGTACACAGCAAGGAGACAAGTGCCAGGAGGGAGAGCCCATGGGGCTGGCAGGGTCCAGGACCACCCAATGCAGCCCTATAAGTCAAGAAAAGATGGCTTAGGGCTGGTGAGATGGCTCAGTGGTCTAAAGCACCTACTTAGAACAAGCTTAGCAAAGCACAGGGACCACGGTTCAATCCCCCAGCACCACATGCCAGCCAGCCCTGCCCCCAGGTGGGCTGAGCTGGCCACGCGTGCACACATACACACACACACACACACACACACAAATAAATAAATAAATAAATAAAAGATGGCTTAGCTGAGACTGTAGGGGAGACAAGGAAATGAATGGTGCATTCACAGACAGATAAGAGGAGGAAGCAGGGAGGTTAAAGGGTCAAGCACTTTGCTTGGCCAGGCCAAGAAATTCATCCTGAGAACTACAAGGAGCCGCTGAAGAGTTTAAGGAAGAGTGAGCTCTGCTTTTTAGAAAAATAGTCCTGGGGGTAAGATGCACAATGAGAAAGGGTAGGCCACTAGCCGGCCACGAGGTGGCAGGCAGCACAGCTGAGGTGGAAGGAAGAGAAGATGAAGCAGAGAGGGCAGAAGGGAGACTGCACAGGACGTGGCTCCTGAAGGCGTGGGCTGCAAGAGTGGAGAGCACTCAGGGTTGACAGGCAGGTGTCAGGACAGGGCTTCCAGCCTGATCGTCTGCTGCTACCCATCCCTACACTCAGATCCAGGCCAGTTCCTCAGGATCCAAAGGCCGCCAGAAAAAGGGGGTTGAGGACAAGCAAGTTCAAGTCCAACCTAGCTCACTTGGCAAGTTCCTGTCTCAAAAGAGAAAACAAGGCAAGACCGCAGATGTCACTCATGGCAGATGCCACCACCCCAGGCTACTCCTAACATTTTAAGCCCAGGAATTTGACAGGGAAAATAAAACTTCCAGTCTCTCTTTAAAAGTGAGAAAGGCACAGGAAGAGTAGACCAGGCGCCTGTGAGACTATGTTTCAGGTGGAGACCAGGGCAGGGCAGAAGCTGCCCATTATAGAGCCCATCTATGGGTGTTGAGCTTCTGATCTCCGTGAATGTGCCTGAAGGCAAGGGCTATGGCCTCACACCACTTCCACTACCCACAACGGGCCACACCCTGGGAGCTCCAGGGCAGCCACCATCACCCTTGCCCCTTAAGACTGTATTACTGCTGTCCATCTCCCTGCTCAGGAAACTGAGGCTCAAAACCTAAAGGATCTGCCCAAGCACCCAGTGCCGGGCAGTCTGACGCCAGAGTGGGTGCCCCCAGCCTCTACTCTAGAAAATTAAACACACACACGCCTACTTCCTCCCACGAAACACAGGTACTAACAGGGCATACGGATGGTGCGGGACGGACAGTGGCTTTAACAAACGTTCAACGAAGAGGTGTTGAGATTGTTTAGTTCCCCCGGAGGTTTGGGGGTTCCCCGGAGGATTGGCACACCACGATTCTCTATAGGGAGTGGGCACCGGTTGGTGCCGCGGGGAAGGGGAGGGCGGGGGCTAGGCCATGAAGTCACGCCACGTCTTCAGCAATTCTCTTGGAGCAGCTCCAATGTCCCCACCAGCGACCAGGCGACCTGGATGGGAGCACGGCCGAGAGGGGGGAAGTAGGCTGAGCGGAGTCGCGGACCCACCTGGATGTCCTCGATCATGTCCGGCGTGAACAGCTCGCGAGTCAGCAGAGCGTCCCACAGCGGGGCCACCTGCAGCTCACCCACCAGGCGAAAGCGGCACCGCCGGAGGAGCTGCCGATCGGCTTCGTCCATGACGGGAAGCCAGCGGTCCCGGGCTTCCAGCCGCTTCCGGGCCTTGAGGTCTCGTCTCCCGCCAGGCTGGCCCTAGAACCGGCCCCGCCCCTGCCCGTCGAGCCCCGCCCCTCCCCGCCCCTCCAAGCCCGGAGCGCCCACCTCTTGGCCCGCTAGACCCCGCCCACTGATCCGCCCCCCGCGCGCCGTTGCTCCGCCCCTCGTCCTCGCCCCGCCCCTCGTCCTCGCCCCGCCCCTCGTCCTCGCCCCGCCCAGGCCCCCCGGCCCCTGCACCTGCCAGCTCCGCCCTTCTCCACCACCCCACCCCACCCGCCCGCGTGTTTTCATTCCCCTCTCCAACCTGCCTGATGCTTCAGCCCGTGGAGCGGCTCTAGGCAGAATTCACAAGTTTACACAAACTCGAAGGGACTCATGCTTCAGTACTACAAAGAGGAAAATCCATGCCCAGAGCCCTGGTCTGTCCCCTCCTTCAGCCACCCCCCCCATGAGGCTTCACTTTCACCCCATTAGACAATAAAATTTCAAAGCCTCTTTCCCTGCCCAGAGCTCACGTCTCGTCCCAAACTGTCCTCAACTCACGTGTCTCGGGGACCCGAGGCTTTTCACCCTCTCATTCTCCTCCTCTGTCCCTGCCACACTAAGGCCTCCCACTAAGTAAACTTGCAGCAATCTAGTCCTCTAAGGTCTCGTGGTTTTGTTTCACTCACTTGCATCTTTCAAAGTAACTGCGCCTGTTGCGTGCTAGCTAAGTCATTGCCACCAGTGTCTTACAGCTTTAGAAGTCACTCTGACTACCATCCTGTCGGGCAGTGGGCCTTCCAGGGTGTTAGAGGTGGTCCAGGGCTCAGAGAAGTGAAGTCAACGTCACAGGGAAGACGCAAAACAGGCAAAATGCGAACCCGAACCTGGCTACACATGCTTCACAGAACGCTAAATTCCAGCAAAATTATAGATCTCATTTTGCTTTGTGATTCTAGAGCTAGGAACTTTATTCCATAAAACAGAATGAGCTTTTTCACAAGCTGAACAGAAGAGGTTCATTTCACAGTCAGAAAAGGGCTGGGGAAAGCAGGAGCCGGAACAGCAAGCTGACTGCCTCTCAAAGTCACTTTCCTTGTAATGGCCAAAGTAGAGGAGATGCTCACAGTTGGCCCAAACCATCCCATTCTGAAATTTTGAGTATTCATTCCCCACCCCCATTTCTCAGAAGTTCTGGTAAATAATTTAGTTTCAGTCTGGGAGCAGAAGTGTGTGTGTGTGTGTGTGTGTGTGTGTGTGTGTGTTACCAGGGATTGAACTCAGGACCCTGCACTTGCCAGGCAACCGCTTATTCTACTGAGCTATCTCCCCAGGCCCACAAATTTTAGCATGAGTGACTCTATTTTGTTCTGTTGGGTCCTAGTATAGAAATTAACAGACAGAGAAGAACTGGATCCTCGAGGAAGGCAGCACATACAAAAAAAGACACCAGAACTGTGGTGGGTCATGGCCCCAGCTCAGCCCAGCCCATTCACCTAGACGGCACCCAGCTCTTCAAGCAAGTTGGGACTAACTCTGGAGTCTGGTGGACATAATGCAGGGATAGTCACCACACACAGGAGGCTGCCCTGAAGGGTGGCCAGTGGCCCGTGGGGAGAAACAAGTCAAAAATAAACGTTTGCAAAAATTAATTAATTAAACGTTTACACTGGACATTGGCAGCACATGCCTGTCATCCAAGCACTGGGAGGCTGAGGCAGGAGGATTGCCACAAGTTTGAAGCCAGCCTGCACTACATAGTGAGACCTGATCTCAAAAAGGAAAAAAAAAAAAAAAGATTGGAGCTAGCAAGATAGCTCAGCAGTCTAAAGTGCCTGCTTAGGCAAGCTTAGGCAAGCGCAGGGACCTTGCAGTTCAATCCCAGGCAGCACATGCCCACCAGCCCCGTCCCCAGGGAGGGCTGAACCAGCCACAAAAAAAAGAGAAGAAATGTTTGTACATAAAAAAAACGTGTGACAGATTCAGGCATCAGGGAGGAGAAGCAATAGCAAGTTCTGCATGCCTCCCTAGAGATACACAGAAGTTTAAGATTATACTGACATTAGCACCACCCAGTCCACTGGGACCAGATAGGCATGAGACTCAGGTAGGCAAGCAGAACATCTGGACCCATACTCCCTTCCCTTCCCTAAAATGCCTTCATTTTTTGCATTTACCCTTGTCATGTGACTCATTTCTCTATTGGATCAATATTAGCTGAGTGGCTATAATACTATAGATTGGTTGTAGTGTTACCCACATTCTGATTTTGCTGTTTAAATTACTCCTGATGGGGCCTGCCCATTAGCTCAGTTGTTTAAGTGTCTGCTTAAGCAAAGGCAGTCAGGCTCAGGATACTCTGGTTTGATCCCCAGATCCTCATGCCTTACCAGACCCACACTTAACACAGCCTGAGAAAAAAATCCATAATTTACTCCTGACAGAGGGTTCCTGCACCCCTCCTGTCTCTCAGGAGCTTTTTTTTTTTTTAGGCAGGATTTCACTATGCAGTTCAGACTGGCCTTGAATGCACTTTGTAGGCCAGGCTTGCCTTGAACTTGCAGCAATCCTCCTGCCTTGGCCTTTTTTTTTTTTCAGAACCGGGGATTGAACTCAGGCCCTTGCGCTTGCCAGGGAAGCGCTTATTCCACTGGGCCATCTCCCCGGCCCCATGCCTTGGCCTTTTGAGTACTGGGATTTCATGCATGCACCACCACGCCAAGCTAAGCTGCTTTATCTTAATAAACCTTTTCAACTCAACCTCCTTTGCCCCTTGAAATTCATTTCCCAACATTCCAGGGGACATGAACTCTGCACATCTGACATCTAACAGGCTAGAAGGATTTTTTCTACATCCTTAGTACAGAAGCTCAATCCAAAATAATGATTTCCTCTGGATTTGGTTTAACAAATATAACAGCTTGAGCAGCAAAACCTTAGTTAGGGTCAGGACTGGGACAAAGCTCGGTACTAGAGCATTGGCCCTCAATTCAATCTGAAAGCAGAATGGGGAGACACCTTATCTCCTTCTTACAATTATTTTACACTTACTGGTAACCTGTACTTTTAAAGATCAATGCAAGAGCCTGGCAAATAGCACATTAAAGTGCCTACAACCAGGTGCAGGGGTCCGGGTTTGATCCCCGGGCCTGCCATGCCGTCCCTGCCCCTGGGGCGCACTGAGAGGCAACTGAGACTGGGCGTGGTGGCGCACGCCTGTAATTCCCAGCTCTTGGGAGTCTGTAAACAGGAGGATCACTACGAGTCTGATCTAGTAGTGAGGCCCTGAACACTCTATAGACCCTTCCCTAAAATACAAAAAAAGAAAAAAGAAAAAAGAAAGAAATGATCAATGCAGACATGGGGACTATACAGATGAACAAAAGAATTTAAAACCCCTGCCCTCAGCAGCTCACATTCCGGTGGGAAGAGACGAGAGATAAACAATATAAAGAGGTTAGTGGCAAATGCAAAAAGAAAAAGAAAAACAGTAGGGAAAAACGAAATTGCTTTCCTTATATGCCCAAGGGATCTATCTCATTGGCTCAAAGAAAGTCGGCCTCATCCACCTGTGCCTCTTTCCCTCCCCCACTACTCCCCCTTCCAGGGCTTAAATCCAGGCCTGGCACATTCTGCGAAGAAACCTCTTACTGATAAACAGCACGAGTTATCCTGGATTTAGATCCTGGGCAAGTCCCTGAGCCTCTGTGAACCTCAGCATACGGAGGAGGTGGGCTAGAAGATCCCTAAGGTCCCTTCAAACTCTGACGCTGTAGGATTCTATGAATAGGGCTAAAGAGAATGGGGACTAGAGATTGCTTCCCCACCCTAGCAACTGTTGCTACAAGAGGGCCACCTCCTAGTGGGCGTGTAAACCCCGCCCCTAGATCGGGATGTCTTCCTGGCATCCCGTGATGCATAGCGATATTGCCTCGCTAGGAGGCACGTTTTGGCCTCTTTGGTCACGATCAACTCTTTGGATCCAGCCAAAGTGCGCGCCTAGTTTCTATAGCAACAGCGCCAGGTCCATGCGCTGACGGCAAGTGCCAAGGGTCAAAATAGATCCGCAAACTAGAAGCCCGAGGCCTGTTCTGTTGTACTTTCTTTGTTGGGCCCTTTAAATGTCACATGACTTTTCTGGGCTTAATCTCCGCCTCTTTCCCCTCCTGGGTCCCGGCTAACGCTGGTGTGAACGGGAAGCTCCCGGCCCGGCGGACTAACTGGAGCACCGACGCTGCAGCCGGTTGGGCCAGTGCCCTTTCCCGGTAATTCTTTCCCGGAGTGTCGCGCGGAGCCGCCAACGCGGCGGGGCCGGGAAAGCTCAAAGATCTCCCGTCAGTTCCTTCTCGTTCCCAGTCCCCGCTGGGCCCGGGGAGGGGGTGCCGGGGGGGACCGGGAGCCGACACGGCCCTGGCCCAGGGCTTTAGGGGCGGCGAGGGAGGGGGTAGCCTCTTAGAAGGTGGCGATCCGCGGTGGGAGCTCGCGGCGGGACTGAGACGCGGAGCGCGTCCCTGAGAACCTCTGCCCGGGCCGGGGGTGCTGGCCCGGAGGCGGCAGCCTACCTGTTGGTCAGGTTGTCGCCTGCCCTGAGGCTAGCACAGTGGAGCCGGAATGTATCAGCCAAAGAATTTCACAACCACCGCCATCACCGCTAACTACAAGGGACTAACAGTGAATGCACGTTCCCAGAGAACTAATAGGGCCACTGTTGACTGTAGGCTCGCTGTTAGTAACTCTGTTACAAGCATTTAATCCCCCCTCGGACGACCCTTACTCGTTCACGTTTTTATACATACGGACACTGAGACTTAGTGCTTTTAACTTATCCAATTTCGTAGGGTTGTGGAGAATGGATCTCGGTTCTAGGCTGATTCTAAAGCCTGTGTGCTTGACCAGTAATTACATAGCCTTCACAGGTTTTTGGACAACAAGACACGTTGTCTTAAGAAAGAAACTGACTTGCTTTAGGGTGTTATTCTGCACACGTACAGTTTTAGGATTGGCCACCAGATCAGTTGATTTTTGTGAGAACTCGGGACAGCCTTAGTCCACTTGTCAAAATCCAGCGCTGTTGCACACACTTAACACTTTATTAATTTGTAAAAGTCAAGATAATAAATTTATGAAAAAGTGTGGTATTTTTAAAAAATGAGGTGTTATTGCAAAGGCCTTAATCCTGGAGTGTAATTATCTACAGTACCAGCACTACCCACTGCCTTGTTCATTCACCAGCCAGAATTATTTCCAAAACGAGCTAGAGTTTAAAACATTTTAAGTCCATGCCCACTGTCAGTCTGCACCATAAGTTCTCCTTTACTTGGAAAACTCAATTTTTTCTCACCACTTGTCATCCAAAATTTTAATTTATAATGATCGTATTGCTAATGAGTGGGCTAAACAGTGGCTTCTCATTGTCTTGATTGGATGGATATGGTGAGAAAGAATATAATTGAGGCATATTGAGTCTTAGCTGTTTTTTTAAAAAATTTAAAAGTATATTTAAATTTACTTAATGCCCAAGAACCCCATAAGGATCCCATTCTGTGGTTAACACATGATAAGCTCTGTGGTTTTATGAATTTAACATGTATGCACTAGGGTGTTTTTTGGGGTTTTTTTTCCCCCTCTGTACTGGGGAATCAAACTCAGAACCTTGTGCTTGCCAGGCAGACACTTATGACACTTAGCTATCTCCCCAACCCTTGGAGCATTCTTAAACCATCTAAGTTTATTGTCAAGCTAGAGACAGTTATGTACTGTATTAGAGCTGTTCGCTGTTTTCACATATCCACATATTATTTCTTCATCCCATTCATTTTGAGTCATTTTAAAAGCTGTTGCAAGCCAAGGATCCTGGGTAGTGGCTTTTAATTGTTATTACCAATCTTTTCATCTATAGTAGTTCTAAATTTTGTTATTCAACAGTAGTACCAAGATTATTGACTTTAAATGATGGTCACCCAACTTGACGCATTTCCTGCAAAATACCTTTTGTTATGTTTTTCATCTGTATATCTTATACCTTCATCTAATTGCTAAAAGATGTCCAGGTTTCTGCCACTGAAACTTATCACCACTTCAATCGTTTCAGCTCTGGAGAGGAAAAGAAATGGAAGTGAAAAAGTTGAGCATTTCCTGGCAGTTCTTGATAGTTCTGGTTCTGATCCTGCAAATTCTGTCCGCGTTGGATTTTGACCCGTACAGAGTCCTCGGGGTCACCCGAACAGCCAGTCAGGCTGATATTAAAAAGGCCTATAAGAAGCTCGCCCGGGAATGGTAGGTGAAATAACGAAATGGAAATTTAGTACAACCTAAGCAGTCTAAGCAGGGGAATGAAGCCTAAAGTACGGTTAGCTTTTCATTATAATTTCCCTTTTCTCTCTGTTTCTGTGTTCACTACTTATAGGTATGTCTAGAATATGTAGAACTTGGGATCATGCTCTGTTATTCTTGGGGACAAGATCCGAAGCCTGTGTTTACTGTGAAATTTCCATTTAGACTACTGTGGCTTCACGAATTGCCATAGATGCTGTTAGCATATTTAATGTCATACTGATCTAAGAAGCAACTTTAGTTTTGTTTTTTTGTTAAACCATGTAACCAACAATGAATAAGCACCACTTCCCAGGATATAGTATTCACAGAGACACTCTTTATGAGCTTAATTGTAAGGAGAATGCTAGTCAGGCTTATTCTCTGTGTGTGTGTGTGTGTGTGTGTGTGTGTGTGTGTGTGTCTGTCTGTCTGTCTGTCTGTCTGTCTAAGTTGTGAGGGATCCAACCCCAGGTTCTTCATGCAGGTTAAAAAAGTGCTGTAGGGGCTGGGGACGTGGCTCAGTGGAGTAAGTGCTTCCCTGGCAGGCGCAAGGGCCTGAATTCAATGCCCAGTTCCACCAAAAAAAAAAAAAAAAAGATATTAAGAAAAGTGCTATACCAATGAGCTGTATCCTATTTCTAAATTAATGATTTTTAATTTTTACGCTTTAAGGAATAGTTTAATCTCAGCACTCAAGTGGCTGAGACAGGAGGATCGCTGTAAATTTACAGACAGGCCGGACTATGTAACAAAATCATGTCTCAAAAAAAAAAAAACAGTTTAAGCCAGGCATAGTGGTATACATTCATAATCCTGGCTATTCCATAGCCTGAAACACTAGGGTGACAAGTTCAAAAGCAGCCTGGGCAATTTAGTGAGACACTGTCCCAAAATACAAAAAAGTAGTAGCGCAGCTTAGTGGTAGAGTTCTTGCCTAGCATGAGGGAGGCCCTGTGTTCCAGCCCCAATACAGCAAAGAAAAAGTTTTAAAAAGAGCTTTTTTCTTTTTTTCTTTTTTTTTTTTT